ATTGTCCAATTTTCACATGCATATGAGGGTATTGAAAATACCATGGCTTGGGTCAGGTGTCCTTTAGTCCTCGAAATAACATCCTTGCTTCCCATACTTTAAAGGAGTCTTGTTCAGCCAATGCAATGTAATGCAATGTATGATGTCTTGACTAATGTTTCCATGAGTAGTGATTGTGGAGCCAAGAGAGAAGTAATTATTGACCACTTCAGTCATTTCTCCATTTATTATGATGTGAGGAATTTGGTTTTCTTTATATATGCTAAACATAAAGCATAATTTAATTAGGCAAAACCCAGTAAATTAGGAAAGTTTCCACTACTGCTAACTACTTGAAGTACAATATCAAAAAAAGAGACAGAGAGAATGTTTTGGTATTGTGCCCAAGCACATTTATATAAGTATAGAGAAACTTATGAACTCAAATTAGGATTTGACTCACATTGGAACTAGGACTTGGTGAGTTCAAAATCAAGATTTTCTCATGTTTTCTTACTGATCTTTAGTTGAGTCAGAAAAAAGTCTACAATTTGAACCCACATCACTCAAAGGGAGAAACTTGAAGCAAAGATGAATAGATTTGGAACTTCTATAGAGCAGTTCTACTTTGTCCTGTGGAGCTTCTCTGAGTCAAAAAAATACTCAGTTGGAATGAGCTGGACTTTTATTTGTTTGTTTACAGTTACTTTCATTGTCACTTCTGCCAGTTTCTGAAGAACACAGTTTCATACTCAGAATAATGCCATGCCTTGATATTGAACATTAAAACATCTCTAAACATAAAAAGAAATCTATTATATATTCTAACTAATCTGTATGTCTTGGGGCTTCATGTTTTTAACTTTAAAATGAAAATACTGCAAAATAAATAAGCTGGAGAAAGATATTATGCTTGTAAAATATGGGATTATTGGTTTGATTGACCCAGTAACTGTGATAATTGGCTCAAACATAAGAGAGAGTGTCCCCAAAACAATGGATTTTCTTTTCCCAAAGCTCTGTATCTAATTTTTTTTTTTTTTACAAAATGACTTCATCACCTTCAAAGTACTATCCATTTTTCTTACTACATTTGTCAAATCTGTGATTCCATGTTGGAAAAAGTTTTCAAACTAATGTTTGAATGGCTGACAGCACCTCCCTTGTTTGTTCCTTTACCTCTCTGATATCATCAAATCACTGTCCTTTCATGTCTTTCTGTATTTGCAGAAACAAAATGAAGTCGAGCAAAGTCAGGTGAGTCAGTTGCATGGGGCAAGAGAGGCATGCTGTTATATGCCCACTGAGATGGCTGCATGAACAGGTGCATTTTTGGGGGGCAAAACCAGTCCCCTATCTGCCATAAAACAGGCCTTTTGGTCACATACTGTTATACATTCTTTTCAGAACTTCTAAATAGAAAGCTTTATTAACAGTCTGACCTGGTGGAAGGAACTCCAAATGCATTATAAGGTGACATTTTTGTCCATTTGGTGAGTTAACAGACATCCCGAATGAGGTTGTTATCAATCGACATTTCACCTTTTTTGAAATGAGAAAACCACTTGTACACTTGAGTTTTTCCCATAGCGCTGTCCTTGTTACCTATGTTTCATAGCACCACAGTTTCCGGGGCATTTTTCCCAAGCAGGAAACAAAATTTCACAGTGGAACGCTGTTCTCTTAAATTGGCTATCACAAAAAATGAGGTTTCAGTGAAACTGCTCTTATGAAATAATTCACTGTGACCAGAAAGAACCTTCCCAGGCAATACCACTGGTGCATTAATTCAGAGCACGTTCCTGGATGTTCGCCTGGCGAGAAAAATGCATACTACTGAAGCCCACGCAGCGGAGGTTTCTTGTGGAAGTCCTCCCTCATAACAAGAGTTGCGGGGGTGGGCAAGAAGAGGGAGTGTTTTGTCGTGGTCTACATGTCATTTGACGTGACCTAACAAAACTTGATGTGACCTAACGACAGAAAACTGTATTTTTCTGAGTCAGACTAAGGAAGATAATACAATAAATGAGATTACAAAACAATTTCACCCATTGACATAGATTTTAAATACCTAAATAAAATATTGACATATGGAAATATGTTGCATAATATTTTCATATGGGAGTAAAAAGATTAACAAAATGTTAATATATTATGTCATATGTAAATAATCTCAATGATGAAATTTTGGCTCAAATTAAACATAAAATATTTAAGTTGTATTTTTAAATTATTTTAATAAAAATATTTTAATAGTTAAATCACATGGATCATCTTATAAACATAAAGTAGCTAACAAAATCAAATATTCATTGTCACAAAAAATTTAAAAAATCAACATGCAAAATATATCCTAGAACAACATACACATAAAATAGTAGATATTGAATAATCTAGGGAGAAAACTGTTATATTCTTTAATTAATATTAAATGTTTTTCCTGTGAGATCAGAAGCCAAGGAATGTACATTTTATCCTAACTATTCAATATTATTCTTAGTTTACATAAGACTAAAAACACTTAAAAGATAACATGGAAAGTAGGAAATCAGATTACATCTAATTATATGTAGATGGAAAATTCTATTAACTCACAAGTAGATTATAAAATGTTAAAGAAATATTGATAAAGAAAATAGAAGCAAAATTATTGGAAAAATAAATATTATTCCTATCTAAAAATACACATTTTTAAAAGATATGAAAAAATTTAAGTACCTAGGTATTAGTTTTTAAACAGTTGTGCAAGAATTGCAAAGAAGAATTATAAAACTTTTTCACAAAAATATAAATTAAAGTAAACTGAAAAAAACAAGATATTGTACCCTCAAATGCTTCATTCTTCTCAATTTCAGCAAGCACGGTTGTGTCATCTGCATATCGCTGGTTGTTAATAAACCTTCCTCCCATTCTGAGAACTTCATGTAATGAAACTCCTCCAATTATTTGTTCAGCGTACAAATTGGATCAATATGGTAACAAGATAGACTTGCAAAACATTCCTTTCCTGAATTGAAACCATACCATATTTCCTTGTTCCTTTCAAATTATTCTTGATCCATGTCCATGTTCCCCATGAACAAAATGAAGTTTTTTGGAATCCCCATTCTTCTCAACGCTATCCATAGTTTGTTATGGTTAACAAAGTTCAATGCCTTTGCATAATCAATAAAACACAAGTGAACATGTTTCTAGTATTCCTGATTTTGAGCCAAGATCTATGTGACACCAGCCCTTTTTCTACATGATTAAGGCTGGAAGCATTTGCTCTTGAATTTCAAGGACTGCTGCCTTTAAGATGGGTTAGAACTCAATGTAAACAAGCCAAAATCCTCACAACTGGACCAAAAGATAACATCATGATAAAATGAGAAAAGATTAAATTTCATCTTATTTTAATCTAAAATCGGTGCTCATGAAAGCAGTAACCAATAAATCAAATGATGCATTCATTGCACTGGGAAAATTTTCTGTGCAAGATTTTCTTAAAGTGTTGAAGAACAAGGATGTCACTGAGAGGATTAAGGTACATGGACCCAAATCATGGTATTTTCAATCACCTCTCATGCATGTGAAAGTTAGATATTCAATAAAGAAGAGCAGAAAAGAATCAGTGCATTTGAATTATGTAGCTGGTGAAGAATATTGAAAGTACTATGCACTGGAAAAAGGTTTGTCTTGAAATAAATACAGCTCCCTAGAAGGTGGATGGCAAGACTTGTCTCATATACTTTGAACAAGTTATCAGGTGACATTAGTCCCTGGAAAAGGAACCCAATCTTGGTTAAGTAGGAGGGCCTTGACAAGGAGGAAGATCCTGTCTAGACTAGATGGATTGACACAGCGGCTGCAACAATGGCCTCCAATTTGACAATGGTATGGATGGTGCAGGAGCTGGCAATGCTTCATTCTGGTATACATAGGGTTGCTATGAGTCAGAACTGACTCATTGGCAACTAACAACAATAACAACAATGTAGTATGATCATGATCTAGAAGATTCAGTGCTGAAAAATTTTTATATATATCATATATACTCGAGTATAAGCCAACTGAATATCAGCCAAGGCACCTAATTTTATCACAGAAACTGCATAAAAGAAACATGCTGAAAAAACTTGACTTATACACCAGTACATACATGGTATTCTTAATTAGTTTTTATTTATGATCCTAAGGTCCACTGTTAATTTCAAGTATATGAGTATTACATTTTGGGGGTAAAAAAATGATCCATATTTGCCACTATGTAACTATGTAACAGTATGTATTGAAATCAATCCGGGATATAGTGTTCTTAGATTTGAACAGAAATCTCCTAATCTGATGACATAGTTGTACACCCTGGAGAGCTCTTAAACATTCTGATGCTCAGAGGTTACATCCTAGCTGCCCTGAATGAAATGAGCATCTCTGTGTAATAGTTTCCTCTTGCAGCTGCAAGAAAATACCACAGAGTTGCTTAACAGATGAAAATTCACTCTCTTAAAATTCGGTAAAGCACAAGTCTAAAACTAATATATCATAAATAAGCTCTATCTAGATAACCCAACCTCATATCACCATTACATACAAACATAGGGCTGCAAAATCATTTTTGCTATGTAAGGGTAACAGTCACTGCTTCCAGGGCATGTAGGCAAATTTATGTGGTCACTATATAGCCAACCACATTTAAGGAGTAGAATTTGAACAGAAATTTATTTATTTATTTTCTTTTTTAATTTCTATTACCCAATGATTTTCAAAGAACATTAAAATTCAATGCCCACCTATATAGATAGATAGATAGATAGATAGATAGATAGATAGATAGATAGATAGATAGATAGATATGACATTTCAAAATGATTTTCTGAATAAATTGTTTACTCCATGATTTGAAGAATGATATTATGCCCAATAGTGCAAAATCACTCATTTTAAAACCCTAAGGATGTGTGTTTATATACATTTAATTTATACATATATACATATAAATTTGTATATGTATATAGACGTGTACATACATATTCCAGAAATTACGTTGGGTGAGAAAGCAGTTTGGTGTTGATTAGCTTCCTGACTGCCTCCTTCACGTCTTTGTTTCTAAGGCTGTAGATAAGGGGGTTGAGCATAGGGATCACGACTGCATAAAGCACAGTGGCCACTTTGACAAGGAGCAGTGGGTTTTTGGACTGGGGCATACAGTAGAGAAGCAGGATGATCCCATGGAAGATGGTGATGGCAGTCAGGTGGGAGGCACAGGTGGAGAAGGCTTTCCGGAGCCCACCAGTGGAGGGCATCTTGATGATAGTGACAACAAGGAAAACATAGGAGGCGAGGATAATCAGGAGGCTACTTGCCTCATTGAAGGTAGAAATGATGAAACTTAGCATCAGGTTGAGCGAAGTGTCAGAGCAGGAAGCAGCGATGAGGGCTGAATACTCACAGCCAAAGTGTTTTATGATGTGGGATCCACAGAAGGATAATGCCATTAGAAAATAGGTTAGTACAAAGGAACATACTATACCCCAAATGCAACAGCCAGCTACCAGGAAGGCACACAGCTTCTGAGGCATAGCAACTGTGTAGAGCAGCGGGTTACAAACAGCCACAAAGCGGTCATAGGCCATCACTGCTAACATGAACATTCCTGTAATCACAAATGTGCAGCCAAAGAAAAATTGCATCATGCAACCCATGAAAGAGATAGTTTTGATTTCCACAACCAAGATCTCTAACAGTTTGGGTGTAAGTACAGAGGAATAACAGAAGTCAAGAAAGGACAGATAACTGAGGAAAAAGTACATGGGGGTGTGGAGTTTAGGATTGATTCGGATGAGCAGGATCATACTGAGATTCCCTACTACAGAAACTGCATAGATGGTCAAGAAAATCAGGAAGAGGGGCACCTGGAGGTCCGGGTATTCTGAGAAGCCCAGGAGCACAAAGGTGATGTCAGTACTCTGGTTTCCTTCATGCAGCATCTTGGTTTCTATTGTAGGAAAACAATAGTTCTATTTGCATGGTTGCTTCTTTTAACTGGTTCTACTGGACTGTGTACTGAATATGCCAGTCCTTGTCTTTGCTCAGGCTTTTCTAACAGGCCACTCTTAAGTGCGTATTCTCATCTGTCCTTTAGTGTTGTTTTACCATCGAGCAATCTCCAGTTTCACATACCATATTTATTTTGCAAACTTTGTTAATAAACTATACATTTAATTTTTGAAAGACTATTCACGACAATTTTTAAAGACCATGGACTTTGGAATTAAAAGTTCTAATTTCAGTCACCTATTAAAGTATGTCTCTTCAATGTTTCTCAAGATATCTCTGTACTTTATATCCTCCCTGATAGAAATATGATTTTGTACTATATTTTTATTTTTATTATCATATCAGTATCCATAAGGTAGAATTAAATTAATGTTTTAAAAGTATCTTAGACAGTATTAAAAAATTCAAGGAACTCTGGTGACTTAACGGTACATTTTGCATTACTAAGCATTAGGTCAATGGTTCAAACTCACCAGCTGCTGTTAGAGATAAAGACGAGACTATATTTTCTTGTATAGTCTTAAAGTTTTAATATCTCATAAACACAAAGGGGCAGTTAAAGTGTGTCCTATAGGGTCACTAGGAGTCAGAATGAGCTCAATGGAACTGGGTTTGTTTTGTTAATTGGTATTTGATATGCAGTAAATTTCCAAAATTCACAGTTCCTCTTCTAGTGCTGCATTAGAATGCATATTGAATTTATGCATATCATAGAATATAGCACCAGTTATAAATTTAGGAAGTATGAACTAATGCTTATAGAAAATAGGAGACAGCATTTTGAAGACATAATATAAGCAGCTTCGTTTCCTGAACATTGTTTTATTTATTGAAGAATAAACAGAAGTGTTATTTTATGCATCATTTCTCTTTGTTCTTCAATAATCACTATTCTCCTTTATTTCTTTTGTGATTTGTCCTTTTTGAATTATACAATTCAGTCACATTGGTTACATTCCCCATGCTGTACAACCATTCCTTTTATATTGGCAAAGGCAACTAGAACAGCAATAAGTTAAACAAAGGAAGATTAAAATGAATTAATAGCAAGTATAAAGGTTTGGAAATGAAGTACAGTACTTCATATATTTATTGTCAGTTGAATTAGGGGGACACTACTGCACTAAATTAAGTGTGTGTCTGCCAGAAATAATGCTAATTTCAAAGTTTTTACATCAGAATTTATAATATTACTAAGATTGACAACTCACCAGATGCTGGATATCCTTGATAGACATTGATTGAAGTTTTCTTTCATTTGCTTAGTACAATTATGAAAAGTAAATGCTCAGGAATATAAATTACCATATAAAAAGCTATAATTTGACAATAGTAGCTCAGTCCAAATATGTTACTGAAATATCAAGAAAATGACATTTTCTTATATTCAAGAAAAGATTAGAGACATATAGATAGTCTCTTTATAGTGAGACAGACTTGGGAACTAAATTCACGAAGTCATGTACTTTACATCCAATTTCATAGCCATGGGGAATCAAACTCTAGAGACGCTTTACAAGCATTTGGATGTGACTTACAAACAAAGCAATTTGAAGAAATCCTCTTCCTCCTAATTTATAACTTAATTTCTATTACATTATTAAATCACATGGGAGAATTGAACATGTTAACTTTGAGGCCCTAAGATCATAAGAACAATAATCTCTTAATCAACATATAATGTGTTCATTACTGAAATCATAAAATTTCCAGCACTAATAAGAAGAAAATTGAAATCTTATTATCATCAATTATATTCATGTTCATCTTTATTTTCTAACATTTCCATCTGAACATTTGTGTGTGTTTTGTTTGTTTTATGTGAATAACACAATATATATTGTGTTGAACATAGGCACTTCAGTATACTGTTACACATAATAATTTTATCCACTATTTTAAAGTTTTATTAAAAGGAAAATTTGAACATATTGACAGGTATATTGAATAACAGGCTGTATTACTTTTCCATTGTATCATAACACATTCAGTAGCTTAAACCAGCATCTATTCATTAGTTCACAGCTTTATAGTTCAGAAATTGATGCACAGAATGAATCTGTCCCAAAAAGTGAAAATAAAGATTTGGGCCAATTCTCAGTTCCCATCTATAACTTAGCATTATTTTCCAATTCAGAGAAGGAAAGAAACTGAGCTTAACAGTGTTGATTTTATTGTTAGATGCTCTCAAGGTGGACTGACAGTGACTCTGTGTACATAAGAACAGATCACTGCCCAACCTTGGCCATCCTACAGTAGTTGGTACGTTTGAGCTCAATGTTGCAGTCAATGTGTCAGGTCATCTCACCCAAGAGTTTCTTCTCTTTTGCTATTCCTCCACTTTACCAAGCACAATGTCTTCTCTGGTGCCTGATCTCTCCAGAGAGCATGTCTACAGTTCATGAGATGAAATCATGCCATCCTCCTTCCCAAGGACTTTCTGCTTGTAATTCCTCCAAGACAAACCTGCTTATTCTTCTGATAGCCAACAGAACTTTCCGTATTCTTCACCAGTGTCCTAATTGAAAGACGTATCTTCTTCTTTAGTCTTCCTTAGTCAGTGCTCAACTTTCACACACATAAAAGGTGATTGGAAATACCCTGCTGTGTCAGGCACAGATCAGTCTTAAAAGTGACATCCTAGTTTGTCCACCCTTTAAAGAGGTCTTGCATAGAGTATTTTCCCAATACAATATATATAGTGATGTTTTGTATGCTGCCTCCATGAGAAGAGGTCTGGTGTTTTACTGGCACAGTAGTTCTAAACCCGCAGGCCCTTCACAGGAGAAATATGAGGCTCTCTTTTCTTTGAAAGCCTCAGAAAGCCACAAGGGTACTTCTACTTTGCCCTGCAGGGTTTGAGTCAAAATTGACTAGATGAGTCAATAACACAAGAGAGAAAGCTTCCTTGAGGATTGATTGTGGATTGATGCAGTGTAAAATCATTGTAAATGACATTATTTTCACCAATTATCGTGGCATTGTCTATTGATCCACTACTGAGGGTTTTCATTTTCTTTGCATTGAGTTGTAAGCTACACTAAAGGCTGAAATCCTGGTTCTCCATCAGCAAGTGTTTCAAGTCCTCCTCACTGTCAGCAAGCAAGGTTATGTCATCTGCATACTTTAGATTATTAATAAGTCTTCCTCCAATCCTTATGATGCTGAACTTCGGGCATCTCTCTGCCAATGCACTGGTGCAAATGGTGTTGAATGGTGTTCAGCAAATTTTACTTGTACATTATATTAATAATATCATTTTATAATATCTGCATTCAGCTGTGCCACATTTCTTTGGAATGGGTGCAAATATGGCTCTTTTCTCATCAGCTAGCCAGGTTTCATGGCATATGTGAGTGAGTGCTTCCAGCTTGTAGAAACATTTTCAATTGGTTACACATTAGTCCAATGATATCCCACTCTGTTGGATTCTTGACCAGATAATCTTGTGATGGACATATGCCTTTCCAAAGCTAAACCCATTGCCATATAGGATATCCTAGCCTATAAATCTTTGTGGGCCTAGATAGCCTCATCTTTCTCTCTCAGAAAAATTTGAAGCACTGACCTTCAGATTAGCAGTCTAATAATTATCTATCACCACCATCTGAACTCCTACTGACATATAATTATGGTATTTATTTTTGTTAAGTCATATTTGGTATTGATTGGGTCCCTCAGTAGTGCAGTTTGGGTTAAGCTCCCAACCAAAAACTTGATCATTCAAAAAGTACCTTGAGCGGCTGCTGATGAAGAGACTGGTGATCTGATTCTATGAAGATTATAGCCAAGAAAGCCGTCAGCAGAAGTTCTGCTCTGTATGATATGCTATGAGCCCAAATGGACTCAATAGAACTGGGATTCGTTGTTGTTATTTATTAACTTAGATACTTTGGGCAAATTCTTAATTACTCTGAACTTTGATTTCCTAATTCATTCAGTGAAATGCTTAATAATATGAAACATAAATCATTGGAGTAGAGAGGAATGCATTTTATAATGAGTGCAAATGATATAGAATGGATTGTGGAACTTAATAAATATTTTTATTTTAATTTAGAAATATAGTTAAAATAAATCATATCAAAAATGTCATATGGATTTTGAAAATCAGACTTAGTCTTGATAGCAATGGGCATTTTCACAACTTGGGAATTCAATATGGAAAACACATGCTTGATGAAAATGGACAGTATAAATACCAATAGGTTTTCAGTGTGGAACTTTTAGTACCCCATGCATAATTAAATTTCCTCAATTAACCTCTATGATTTATCACTTTATAGCCGCTCCACATCATCACCTCAGTCTGAATCCTGTAAGACAATTATCTGTCAGAGAACAATATCTCAGCAGTTCCTCTGCTGTCATATTACATAAGAAGTTAGCATTACTCGGCTAGATTGTGGCCACAGGATTAAGTCAAAATCTTCACCTTCAGAGGATTCTGTGCAACTGTGGCTGAGTAATTTTCTACTCCTTTTTTCTAACAGTCAATTTTTCTTTTTTTCTTTCTTTCTTTTTTAAATTAGTGATAGCAAGAAATCTATGTGTCTCTGCAGACCTTGCCAAAATGTCCCAGGGATTTGGCTTAATTATGACAAGTATTGTTGGCTAAATAAAACCAAAAGCTCACTGTCATCAAGCCATTTCAACTCAAAGTA